CTTCACTACCTCTGTGAGCTGACCTAAGAATTCCTGGTCAAGCTCCTCACCCTGGTTGGGAGGTCTGTAGTAGACCCCCACTGTTAAGTCTCTTTCCCCTTGACTGCCTTGTAATCTAACCCACAGCACTTCAGAGTGCCCTTCCTCTGATTCTTTATTAACTGATGACGATGTGTATTCCTCCTTAATGTAGAGTGCCACGCCCCCACCTTTCCTTCCTATCCTGTCCCTCCTGTACAGCCTATAGCCCTTGACATTCACCGCCCAGTCATGCGTTGAGTCCCACCATGTTTCAGTGATCCCCACTATGTCCGGGTTGGTGTCAGCCAGCAGGAGGGTGAGTTCCTTCTGCTTGTTTCCCATACTATGGGTGTTTGTGTATACCTATAGACTCTCAGCATCTGAAATTTTACACTACTTTCTTGAATGAAAACATTTAGAACATGGAAAAGACAAGAATCCTCCTTACGTGCTGAAACTTCAAAGCAGTCAAATTTGACAGGCTGGATATAATTTACCAGGCTGGACATTTCTTCATAAGCAGTCACTTCCAAGCCAGCAGTGCCCTATGCAAAATGAGAAAAGACAGGTGAAGTAACATCTCCCAGACAAACACAACACAGTTGGGCCTATAGGAGTGAAGGAACCCAAAGGTCACAGCAGAATGCTGGGCAGAAACCTTCTCTTAAATATTGGTACTAAAAATCACTTAGCGGGTAGGCAGTGGCAGGACGGGGAATGAGTTACATATACTACAATGCACTCAGAAGAATGAGGACATGGTTCTTCCCCTTTAAAAAGACCATTTTGCGCATCAGTCACAACTTTCTGATGATCTTAAAGCACTTCTCTAAAGCCAAATAACTAAGTCCCTCTGAACAGCCATGTGAGACAGACAGTTACTATTATTGTTATTTATATATTATCATCCCAATTTCACAGATAAGGAAACATAGGCAAAGAAAGATCATAGGTGTTGTCCTAAGTCATGCAGAAGTCACTGGCTAGGTCAGGAATGGCACCCTGGATTTCCTACTTGCTATGTTCTCTACTCATGAAGCCTTCATTCTCACATTTACTTTCAGCTGCAAGCCAGAGTTTCACTGTCCCACAGCCAAGTGGTTCTTTTACAGCATTGGAATCAAACACAAACTTCACTATCGTGAGGGACGAGAAGGCATTTAGTCACCCACCACCATTAGTTCCCATTTGGGTTTTTTGCCACTAAGGAAAGAAGACTCAATTTATGTTAACCAGTGAGGGTCCTGTTAACTAGCTGAGACCAAGCCCCAGCCAGAAAAGGAAAAAGGGCCAAGAGAGGAAAGGTGAGTGACAATACCTCATCTGACTGCAATTTTTTAATCTCTTCTTCATCCAAGTTTCCTGACTCCTCCTCCTCTTCCTCTGGCTCCTCTTCAGTCACATCACCTGCCCAGACTAAGGAAACACAGTGCACACGAGCAGCATTTTTAGACAGAACATCACGGATTATCAACAAATGCTCTAGTACTGCCTCCACTAGCCATGAGAAGATGGAATCCCTCTCAGCTTAAGCATATAGGAACTAGAAGAAGGCCAGTCCACTGGGGACACTATTCTGCCAGTAGGGTCCTGGCATGAAAAGGCAAAGCTCTGGACTGGCACATCTATGTATCAAGCCTTTCCTTTTGATGGCTTCCAGCACACTACTGGACAATGGCTGCACACTGACTTTATCCCCAGAGTCTCCAGCTTCTCTTCACAGGCTTCTCTTCTGAAGAATGGGTTTGCAGTCACATTTCTCCAACCAAGGGTCATGCACATCTGTGGGAGGACTCCCTATCCGGTCTGTTTTCTGGGCATTCTACAGAGGAGCTGTTGCTGCATGCCTACTGGCCTCTGTGCTCCTCTTGTGATGGGAACAGGAAGCCTCCATGGCCTGAAAGCCCTTTGGAGCTGTTCTGCCTTGGGATCTCCAAGTACAAGATGGTTTTACATTGAAAACTAGATTTAGATTAGATTTCAGGAAAAAACTTCCTTACTATTAGGATGTGGGGAAGTGGGACAGATTTCCAGGAGAGTTACGGAATATCCTTCATTGGAGGTTTTCCAGAGGAGATTGGGTAAGCATTTGATAAGAATAATTTAGGAACAGCATTCCTGCATTCATGCAGGGGATTGGACCAGGTGATCCTTGAGGTCTCTTGCAACCCTATGATGCTAAAGTTCTAAAGGAGATAATAGGTCTTGGCTATGGGAAGAAATGAGGGTGTACAAGCCTTCAAAAACTTTGGAATTAAGAGATGTGCCATGGCAAATTTGCTGGGTGCCAGAGAGGTATTCGGTGACACTGCAGGACAGAAGTCATCCACGCATTCACTAGACCAACAGACAGAATATGGAAATGAATTGCTGGATGAACCATGTAGCTGACACCCAAGTATAGCCAGGTGAGGTACAGGATATGTGCTCTTTTTAGCCTCTAGTGTTGCTATTAGTCATTATAAGATATTTAAACATAATGGGCATGTTTAATACACATGCTCCGCAAGTGTGGGGGGTGGGGGTGCTTTAATTAAGAGTGGCTCTCAGAGCCACTCTAATTAAAGTGCCGGAAGTGTCTTGTGTATCAGTGTCCCTGTGCTTAAAAATGCTGAGGGGTGGGGTTGGGGGGGCTTTAACTAAAGATTGGTAATTACCACACTCCAGCAGACTCAAGTAATTAAAGCATGTCGAAGAAGCCTCGCTGCTCATGTATAGGTGCCCATTCTCCTCACTGCAGTCCCCAAGCACACACAGGAGATCAGCTCCCCTCCAGCTAACACTAGACTGGTTTGTAATTTCTTCAAGGGGCCACCTCAGCTTTTCTGAGCTGCACTAGTCCCATCCCTCTTTCATACTGTACCAGTATCATCACTATCCCCAGGGACAGGCTGGTCAGTAACTTCAGGCTCCACATTCTTCCCTTTCTTCAGAGAATTCTGCCCAGTACACTGGTTCTTTTTGTTTTTAATCAGGATTTTGCCCAGTAGATCCTGAGGGCTTGGCAAGGGAACTCCTGGCTTCAGCTGCAACAGAGAAAACATCAAATTTATTTTTCTCCTCTAGAAAGACAGAGCTCAAATGCTCAGCTATCCACCTGAATCCTTCCTCTCACTGTCTGCCTGAACCAACTCTACCCACTTGTCTCCTTCCGTGTCTTCATCCACCCAACTTCCCATACCTCACACCATCTCTGTCCACTGTAACCCTGTATAAGTTCCAAGGCATTATTGCTTTAAGACCTTGCCCACCCTTTCACACACTACTTTCTATCCCTTGCTATGCATTATCTTGCTGTAGATGGATTTTTGGGACGGGGCAATGTCTCATTAACTCTCTGTAAAGCATTGTGTACATTTATGGCATGGACAAGGTAAGAATGTTTGTATGGATTATGAAACCATAATGGTTCCTGGAAAACATCTCTTGGTACATGCAAACTGCATGTGCAGGCATTTTTCTGGACCTATGCTCAGCTGCTTTTCACATGCAGCTTCCTACCTGATTCAACCTGCATATGTACATTTCATGTGCACAGCTCAGCCATCTAGAGTCAGATTCTGAAGTTGATGGAGTCACTTTGGACTTGCAGAGATGTAAATGAAAGCAGACTTGGGCCCCTGATTTAGAAAAAATCTGGCCTTGAAGTCAAAGTTCTCCCTCTGTTCTCCAAGTTGCTCAGCCACAAGCTGAGAGCTGAGCTCAGTCCAGCTCTCTGCTCCCTTATGTCATAGTCATTGATAAGACTGGGTAGCTATACACATTTATAGGCTAACTATGTAAGATATATAGACAGAGCACACACTTTTGTGGACTAAAGCTGGCTTCATCATTTATACCTCTACAAGCATCCTCCCACTGGTCACAAAGGACCTACACAGGAACATTGCATGTGGTATTGCAGGCAGTGGTACCACATGGCACCAGGAAACAGTCCTTGCATGTTGCCTTGTCCCCTAGCACAGGCTCACCCCAACATCTTCCACTTACAGGGTATTTTTCAAGTGGTTCTGTCAGCAGCATGTCCCCAAATATGGTCCTGCAGTACTCAGCCATCTTAGCTTGCTGCTTGGGTCTAATTAATAGCAAAATAAAATGCAAGTGAGGCACAGACCTACTGAGCCAGGGGAAAAAAAACATACCTAAAGCCACAGCTCAGCATGGGTGCCTGTTCCCAATCATGCACCCTGTGCTCTCCCCACAAAATGGCTATTCCTCTCCCACACTCCCCCCCCTCATCTCGCTGCAACATCTCTGCAGAACAAACACCATCTAACCCATGCTATCATCTCCATGAGGTTAGGAGTTGGGAGAGGCAGGTTTGAAAAGGAACACAGAGTAGAATTCACTGAATTCCTGTATTTTTTATCACATTCACTCTGCAGTTTACAGCTTAGCTCTCAGTGTTGTCTCAGATTCCCTCCAAGGAAAACTCCTTTCACACTGCAGCCTTAATGCTTCACCTTGCTGTCCTGAAGCACAGAGCCACCAAGCAAAACCATGTCAGCATTAGATGAAAAGGCATAGCTTGCCTTTGCCCCCTGCAGCCAACAAAGTGTTAATCCCCCCATCTCTGCTCCCCAGACGGGAGTCAGTCAGCCCATAGGTACTCACGAGTCTACGTGATTCTCAAAGGACAGGATGACAGGGTAGAGAGAGGTTTTGAAAGCACTTTCCGCAATGGCTTCAATGGCATCCTGAGCAAGAGCAGACAGACAGAGGGAGTGTGTGAGTATTCTTGATCATGTCCTGAGATGGACCAGTCTGGGTAGCCAGCCAACTGTCCAATTTCCACATTCATCATTTCCAGGGATTCTCTCGTGAGCAATATAGCACCTCTGACCCCATTTCCTTCACACATTCCTCTCCCATAGCTTCCCTTAGATTATTTTTCACTCAGTTTAAACTCATCAGGTAAGTAAGTAGATGATGCTGAAGTTTGTAGAATGGCCAATTTATCTCTTGCTACATGAATGAAAATCTAAGTAAAGGAGTTTGGTGGTATCTGGAAGGAGAATAACATTGTTTAGGACTAACTTGGAAGGGTTAGGAAAAAGTGTAAGTGACATCTGACTACACTTCCTTTATTCTTGCTGGGACTCACACTTACCTAAACTCTCAAATGAACCCCACCTTGCCTGTAAAACCCTTCTTGATCCTGATTGTTTAGCATTGCAGGAAACCAAAATGTGCAGCAGCTACTGACTACTGGCATTTCAGTTGCAAATACCATGGGAATGTTCTCAGCGTTAACAAGCTACTTTTTAAAATCATACTTCCTGCAAACCTCTATTAAACTACCATGAATTTCTCACTATTTTCTTCCCCATTGTTATTAACTGGCAGGTTACAGGAGCAAGTTTTCTCCTTTGCAATTACTGGTCTCCTCTTGCTTCAGTCATTCAATGACATCACACAATCCATTGCATATGCATGATAGTACTTGGATTGCAGGTTAAATTTGCTGGGCCATATTCAGCTCCTGTGTAGCCCTGAAGAAGTCAGTGAAAACACATCAGGGATCCACTTGGCCCTGTGACTTCACCCCATGCCAAGAAAAGCTCCTGATTTGGCAAGCAGTGTGGCAGGTGCAGAGATCCCACCTCAGGAACACAGCTGGGTATTCGTATCCCTCCGCTGTTTCCACCACGTGAGGCGGGCCAGTAGGGGGTGCTCCTGCGTTGAGCCACCCACCTCCCTGCGCCCCACCACCTTCCAGGCTCCGAATGCCTCCCTAGGGGCGCCTTATGTCCGGCCGACCCCTCTCCCGGAGCACACTCGCTAGTCTGGGGGTAACGTGCCGCCACCACCCCAAGAATGGACTGTCTCGCGGCCCTGTGTCCTTGGGGTAACACAGGCCTAAAGTCCCACGGGTACTCAACCCAGTACAGGCACTTGGGGTACTTCCCCAAGTCCGGGGGCAAAAAGGTATAGTCTCCCTTAGTCCACAGACCTAAGGGGTCTCTTAGGCATAATTTAGACCCACCCCTCAATAAGTCTCCCACACCAGTCAAAAAGGAGAACTTTATTGATTACAGGGGGTAGGGTAAACTAGGGTACAGGATAGAGCAATATCTAGAAATCCTAAAGAGCAAACAGTCTGGCTGTGGTAGCCTTTTGATTACGCATCTGTGATACTTCCAGCTAAATATCTAATCAGATTGAGTAGCTTACTCACAAGCATCTTCCAAAGGCAGGTGAAGTTTCCCTTTGGAGGCAGGCGGTTCCTAGCTCGTGAGTTTGGGGGGAGAGAGCCAGTTTCAGATGTTAAGGCTTCTCTGTCCCCTGCCTGGCTGCTGCGTCACCTCATGGCCGGAGAGGAGAGACCGCCTCCTTCCCCGTCCTAACTTATATAGCCCCTGTGACCTCATTCACCTGGGCCAGCGGAGGTCAGCCCCAGTTGGCTGTCAGCCAACCAATTTGAAATGCATCACCTGTTACTGGGCAGATCCCAGCTCCCCAGGTAGAAACCCCTTACCCACGTAAGTGATGCAAGTCACATAAGCAGAGGGAGCAGGTTTCCCCCTCCCTCAGGAATGCAGCCAGCTCAAGTTCCCTAAAGAGACAGGCTGAGGGTGTGGTCCCCTGTGTGCTGGGCCCATCCTAATTGAATGGTCACAGCACAGAGATTTAAACCACAGTGTCACAGGGCAGAGATTTTTTGGGGAGGAAGGCTGCTCCAATGCCACTACAGTGGATTACATGAGCTACATTTCAGAGGAAGCTGCTTCAGGTTCAGAGGATAAGAGGGTGAAAATGAAGTTATTAGAAACCTGGGGCTCAAAGAAGGGGAGAAGCAGCAGAAGGGAAGATCCATGTATGGTATAAAACTAAAATCCAAGTGCATGAGGGATTAACAGGCTATAATTTCATCTGAAGGTTCATTCACACAGTTTGGCAGAACCCCTTCATGCAATCAGAGCTCCTGTAATACACAGTTACCATTTTCTTCGCTATTTCTTGTGCACTGTTATGCAAAAGCAACAGTAATATCACAGGATCTAGGATGGGAAATTATTGGTACTGAATCTGACAGGCAGATGAATGTGCCTAGTCATTAACAGAAACAGGATTCCCCCCCCCCCCACACACACAAATGTCTTAGAAATAATGAAGTGTAGGAATGAAGAAAAACACAGTATAAGGACAGAGAAGAGCATCTAAAACTTGGTTCCTGTCTGGTTGGGTATGGGTTCCTTACAATGTTGCCCAAAGGCATGCAGAGGAAGGAAGTGTGGTCCAGTGATTGTAACTTTTGTGATTAAAGCACTAAAACTTTAGAGGGAAAAGTGGGGGTAGCCTGGGCTGTGTCCCTTTTAGCCATGCATCTTGGGACTAATATTCAGGCAACCTGCATGACAAAACCACAAAATGGTTGCTGTCCCACTGAGTGTAAGCTGTACATGCATGAAGCATGGAAATGACAAAGGAACAAACTCCTAAGTGCCACTTAGTCGCACACAAACCTGCCGTTATCATCAGCCTGGCTGTTTGACAACTCCGAGTCTCTGTTAACACTCACCACTCTTGGCTGCAGAGAGACCTTGCTAATTGTCTTTTCTCTGAACTCATCATTCCTTGCACACACCCACCCACTTAAGAAACGCCAGCCAGCAAGGGCTCATCCACTCAACCAGACACGTATCCCTCTGCCTGGCTCCTCCCCAGCTCTGACAGCTCAAACATTTTCCCTCATTTATTCCTATCCCTCTACTTTTCACCTCCTGATTCACCACCCCACGCATCACACCATCCTGTTTAATACTAGCTCATCTACCTGTCTACCTCACAAGTCATGCAGCTTTGCTTCTTACCCATCCATGCCCCAGCCCAACTGTTTGCCATTTCACTCACCCATATATCTTCCTAATGTAGATAACATTACAAATTCAGGCAGAAGAAATAATCTGTGGAGACAATTCTATCCTTACCTTGAACAGAATTTCAGTGGTCATAGTAAATCCATGGGTGATGATGGGCTCCTCATCTGGAGGGCGACCCTTCCAACAGTCCAGCTCCACACAGCGACAGCCAGCCAGCAGGGTCTGACGATACATTTCAGAAGAGGAGTTGCCAGAAAATTGGCCAGCTACAACAGGACAAAAGGAGAAGAGATTCCTGTTTCCATAGACGCATGTAAAAACATTCTTCTGAGCTAGGAGTAAAAAGGGGAAACAGAGCTCTGGGCACTTCCTGAGTGAGTATCCCCTTCAGATTGCAGTTAAATTTAGGTAACTGGAACCATGAAGCCCTACTTAACCCCTTCTCCTCTTGCATGCTGTGTCCCCATAACTACATGCTTACTCTCTGTGTCGAGGGGATGGAGTACTGGTAGATATGCACCTGCCTCATCCTCTGGGGGGTACATGGCCACCCTGCCATTTGGGAAGGATACATAACTGGATCATGAGGGACTTACACCTGCCCCCTTGCTAGGCCTGCTTTTATAACTATGGGGTTATACACTTGCCAGCTGCTTGGGAAGGCTGCCTGCCTTATGACACATCAGAGTGCATATATTTGTCCAACTTTGTAGGTTAGTGAGGTGGTTGGGGAGAGGAGACATCACCTTCCTTTGAAGCACTGGAAGTAAAACTCCCAGCCTTACCTGTGGATAAAGTGGGAGGCAATGACGCTCCTGCTGGTACTAGAAAACCCAGAGGTTCCTCATTAGCTCTTGCTGCTCCACTCAGGGTCATATCAATCACTGAATTTGGGGTCAGACTGGCACAGATAGTGGGGGTTTGTGCTGTCCTTTGCGGCATGGGAGGGTCCTTTTCCTAGGATCCTCTGAGCATATATTAATCTACTATGTCTGTGCTGTTGCAGCAGCAAAACATTCACAGTGTTCTCCTCTCCTCTGCTCTAACCTGTGGCTTATTATACCATGTTTTGGTGTTTCTGGTTTGTCCACTATAGTTGCATGTAAGGTTTTGTGTGGACCACTTTTAGAAATCTTTGTGTAAATGGCTTGCTGCAAATGTGTGTGTGTGTGTGTGGGGGGGGGCAGACTTGATGGTCCATATTATGGATCAGCCAAGGGGATAAGCATGTGCCAAGAGAGAGGAGAGTGGCACACTTCTGCCTAGCAACTCCTGCAG